CAACGTCCCTCAGAGGGGAGGAACCATGACCCTGCTCTGTGACTTCCCCAAGAGGACGATGCTATTCGGTCCATTGCTTTACGTCCCAGATAGCAGGAGTGAAACATTAGCTCTGAATTTGCTGAGAAAACGCTAGGAAACATTGAATTTCAAGTCATCCGTTCTCCCAGAAGCCAAACCAAGGGCACTGCTGATTCAGAGATCTGTGGCAGAATCCTCAGATCAGATTCCCTGCTCCTCTCTCAAGGGCTGACAGAAGGGCATAGCTATCTTTCTAGACTGGAAGAAGGTGAAGAGAAGGAGTTTTTTCAGTGGTGCCCAGTGACAGGACAAGAGGTAACAGGCACAAACTTGAACATAGGAAATCCCATCTAAAGATGAGGAGAAACTTCCTTCCTGTGAGGGTGGCAGAGCCCTGGAACAGGCTGCCCAGAGAGGTGGTGGAGTCTCCGTCTCTGAAGACATTCACAACCCGCCTGAACACCTTCCTGTGCAACCTGCTCTGGGTGGCCTTGCTCTGGCAGGGGGTTGGACTAGATGATCTCTGGAGGTCCCTTCCAACCCCATGTGATTCTGTGAGTTGGAATGAGAAACCTTGAAACATGTGACAGTCTCAGCCCTCACGAACCAAGGCAGAGCTTTTCCTAAAAAAGACCACCTCCAGTAGGATCCAGTGAAGTCCCCGTGCCCACCGCCACCCATAGAACATGGGAACCTCCAGACCATTCTTCCCCCAGAGCCTGACAGCTGCAGATGCACACAAGCTAACAGGGTGTATGCCTACAAACAGCCCAACAGTGTCAAATGGCAGAGTTTTCACCGCTCCTCCCGGCCAAACAGCATTTTCTGGGGACAAGGAAACAACAGAAGGGAAGAAGAATGCCTGGCCGAATAGTGTTCAGAACTGCAGCTCCCAGATAGGAAGAGCCTGTGTGCCTGTATATACGTATTAAGTACTTCCTCCGCTATACAGCTAATCCGATTAACAGCTTTAGGAAACTCTGAAATGTTATAATTCAAGGGGTCCCATTCATAAAAGGTCTTAGGCTGCTTCTGTGCAGAGGTTGCATTCTTCCCACTGGAAATAAATAAAAAAAAAAAAAAGGGGGGAGAGAGCAGGACTTTCTCCCAGGGAAGAATGGGTCCCAATCCTCACCATGCTGAAGCAGACCACCCTCTTACAATTCACACGAGAGTCCAGCAAGCCCCCCCAGGAGAAGAACCAATGCCTCCTGCCCCTGCAGAGAGCCTATAAAAATTTACCTCAACTCAAAGAGAGGTCAAATTGTGCAACTTTAAACAGTTCTTTTACTGAATCACTGATGAGAGCAAAACTAAGCTTCAGGTGAAGCAACCTGTGGCAAGGAGCACAGAAGCCACATTACTGGAATGATTTAGAACTGGGTTGGAGGAAAGCACTTTGGAATTCATCTTCAGGGAAATCCTTGAAGGGTTCAGATGAGAAATGAACTGGTTGGTAGTCCTCAGCCCTCTTTTAAGAGGATGTCTCCTGGCATTCACTCAGAGGTCACCTGCACTGTTTGAAAATACTCTCTACTAACTCAGAGCTCATAGTTTTAACCGTTTCAGGAGAGGTCAACACGCAGACACCTAAGAACTACTGGGATAAAATGGGCTAGACTTAGCTGTAGGCCGCCATCATGCCTGCCTGTCCCTCAACATGGCCTGAAGAAAACCCCGCTGCTATAAATGTATCAGAGAATGATGTCTGCACGCAAGATGCTATTGGAAAGCCTTCTGCAGCTTTCAGCTGTTCCACCTGTGCTCTTCCTGACAAATCCCTGGAAAGGAAGCTCCTTTGGAGCAAAGTAGACTGCTGATATGAATAAGGACTGTCAGGTCATGTTTTGCACTCCAACAGGCTTGAAGTACATAACACAAGTGATGCAATTCCCACACAAAATAACCCAGACACACCAGACCGAGACATCCGGTCAAAGCCAAAGAGGGACTTAATTGCTAGAGCTCTGAAGCAAGGTACCAAGTTGGATACCAAGGAGACAGCTAACCCCCATATGAACAGTCTTCAAGGGGATCACCAGAGAGCTCTGAGCCAACGTCCCTCAGAGGGGAGGAACCATGACCCTGCTCTGTGACTTCCCCAAGAGGACGATGCTATTCGGTCCATTGCTTTACGTCCCAGATAGCAGGAGTGAAACATTAGCTCTGAATTTGCTGAGAAAACGCTAGGAAACATTGAATTTCAAGTCATCCGTTCTCCCAGAAGCCAAACCAAGGGCACTGCTGATTCAGAGATCTGTGGCAGAATCCTCAGATCAGATTCCCTGCTCCTCTCTCAAGGGCTGACAGAAGGGCATAGCTATCTTTCTAGACTGGAAGAAGGTGAAGAGAAGGAGTTTTTTCAGTGGTGCCCAGTGACAGGACAAGAGGTAACAGGCACAAACTTGAACATAGGAAATCCCATCTAAAGATGAGGAGAAACTTCCTTCCTGTGAGGGTGGCAGAGCCCTGGAACAGGCTGCCCAGAGAGGTGGTGGAGTCTCCGTCTCTGAAGACATTCACAACCCGCCTGAACACCTTCCTGTGCAACCTGCTCTGGGTGGCCTTGCTCTGGCAGGGGGTTGGACTAGATGATCTCTGGAGGTCCCTTCCAACCCCATGTGATTCTGTGAGTTGGAATGAGAAACCTTGAAACATGTGACAGTCTCAGCCCTCACGAACCAAGGCAGAGCTTTTCCTAAAAAAGACCACCTCCAGTAGGATCCAGTGAAGTCCCCGTGCCCACCGCCACCCATAGAACATGGGAACCTCCAGACCATTCTTCCCCCAGAGCCTGACAGCTGCAGATGCACACAAGCTAACAGGGTGTATGCCTACAAACAGCCCAACAGTGTCAAATGGCAGAGTTTTCACCGCTCCTCCCGGCCAAACAGCATTTTCTGGGGACAAGGAAACAACAGAAGGGAAGAAGAATGCCTGGCCGAATAGTGTTCAGAACTGCAGCTCCCAGATAGGAAGAGCCTGTGTGCCTGTATATACGTATTAAGTACTTCCTCCGCTATACAGCTAATCCGATTAACAGCTTTAGGAAACTCTGAAATGTTATAATTCAAGGGGTCCCATTCATAAAAGGTCTTAGGCTGCTTCTGTGCAGAGGTTGCATTCTTCCCACTGGAAATAAATAAAAAAAAAAAAAAGGGGGGAGAGAGCAGGACTTTCTCCCAGGGAAGAATGGGTCCCAATCCTCACCATGCTGAAGCAGACCACCCTCTTACAATTCACACGAGAGTCCAGCAAGCCCCCCCAGGAGAAGAACCAATGCCTCCTGCCCCTGCAGAGAGCCCCCTCGCAGGGTGGGTGAACACAGAGACCCCTCTGTGCCTGCTCTGCAGAACGGGGGCTGCCCAGTTGTCACCTTGCACTTCCAGGGGGACAAATGGAGCCTACCAGAGATGAGAACAGGGCCAAGCAAGTGACATGACCTTATGCAAAGCATCGTATGATATACCAGCTTTGCCTCAGTCAATAAAAGGTGCCAGGAAGAGACAGTTCAACCACACAACATGAGCCATGGTTGTAAGGGACCAGTGCCTGGTGTCGGCTGGGAGAGAGTTAACCTTCTTACTAGCAGCTGGTATGGTGCTACGTTTGGATTTAGGGTGAGAATAATGTTGATAGCAACAACCATAAATGTGTCTTAAGCAGCCAAAGCCTTTTCTGCTCCTGGCACCACCAGCAAGTAGGCCAGGGGTACACAAAAAGTTGGGAGGGGACACAGCCAGGACAGCTGACCCCAACTGACCAAAGGGATATTCCATACCACATGGCATCATGCTCAGTATATAAAGCTGGGGGAAGAAGGAGGAATTGGGGGATATTTGGAGTTATGGCAGTTGTTTTCCCAAGTTACTGTTATGTGTGATGAAGCCTGGTTTGCTGGGGATGGCTGAACACCTGCCTGCCCGTGGTAAGCAGTGAATGAATTCCTTGTTTTGCTTTGCTTGCAGGCACAGCTTTTGCTTTAACTAATAAACTTTATCTCAACCCACGAGTTTTCACACTTTTACTCTTCTGACTCTCTCCCCCATCCCACTGTGGGGAAATGAGCGAGCGGCTGCGTGGTGCTCAGCTGCCAGTTGTATCCCCACAATACAGATGTGGGTTATAAAATTCAGTTCATTTGCCAGGCGGTGCAGGTCTGGCACCAGTGCTGAGAGAAAAAAAATATGCTAGATAGGACAACTTAAAAAACCACCAGAGCAAACAAGTACCGTCAAATGCCATCTGGCTTTGCTTCCCCAGTAGCCTCCTCATATAACTTCAGGAACAAAAGGATGTGGAAGAGATGAGTGCTGCCTGTCTCACTTACTTAGTCCTCATTTTCTGATTTACCTTCTCCTCTGAAGGCAACCTACTCCTAATTACCTATCACCTGAGAACATGCCACAGCCTGAAACATGATAGGAATGGGCTAAGTGACACGACAGTGCAGGATAATTAGGCTTCCAGGAAGCAAGCTGTAATCTGAAGAACTGGACAGCCCTCCTCTGCCCAGAATGTCAGCATCTGCGTGAGTTTAATCAGTTAAATCGACATCAAAAGCATGCCTCTGTGTTGGATGTGTCATCTTTCACACTCATCCCAACAGGAAGCCCCAGCACTGATCCCCAGAAGAGGACCCACACACTGCTTAGATGCTCTGAAACCAAAGCCAGGCAGTGACAAGGAAACAGAACCAGCCAGCAGTCCTTACAATAAGAGCTGAGATGCATAGGGTTAGGGGAATGTGTGATTTCAGTGATTTTTGGCTGCAGTGGGTTTTACCTGGGTAGACAGCTGAAAAAAGGCATTATTTGGTTCAGATGACACATTGCACCAAAAGCAGGGGAGGACAATAAGAGTCAAAACTAATGCCAAACTAAGTGTCCCTATTCCAAACACATTTCCTTCCAAATTTGCAGAAAGGCAGTCACTTGTAGAAAGAGACCAGTGCTGTAAATTTTAAAGTCTCCTCTTACCTGAAGTGTGTCTTGCATTGCCATCTGAGTGCTTTGTTAAGTCAACAGCTCTGTCTATTTGAAACAGCTTCAGATCATCTTCATCTAAAGCGATATCTCCCCAAAAGGCAGCTGGAGAGAAACAAACTGTAATTAGTTTAGTTTTTATTTTGGAAGGAAAGTACAGTTCCTAAGTATGGCACCTAAAAGGAGATACTCCATGAACCAGGAAAAGGTAATGCACAGGAGTAGATTCAAAAGTACAGATGGAGTGGATATCACTGGAGGCCAGGCAGCAATATTTAAATTAAAGCCACTGTGCAAATCCACCAAAAGGAGCTGATGAGCTGGGATTTCTTGTGTTAATTGTTGTTACTGGTCTGGCTCTCAACCAGGCACTAAGGTGATGGCGTTCACTCTTCCATTAAAGCCTACAAGGAGGACAATCACTGGTATTTCCCCAGTTAGCGTGAAGGAATTGGCTAAGTTGCACCTCAGATCCTGAGATGCTGCATCCATACCATCCCCAGGCCAACAATTTGCATAAGACAGGACAGTGGTGAAGGACTCAAGCTCAGCAGTACATTTAAAGGCCACAGTTGTCAGCCTGCAGGACCTCATACACATCGTTAGCACTCAGAACCACTGCATTGCTCTAAATCATAGAATCACAGATTGGTTAGAGTTGGAAGGTACCTTCAAGATCATCGAGTTCCAACCCCCCTGCCCTGGGCAGGGACACCTCCCACCAGACCAGGTTGCTCAAAGCCCCATCCAGCCTGGCCTTGAACCCCTCCAGGGATGGGGCAGCCACAGCTTCTCTGGGTGAGAGAAGAAAATCCAAGAAGGAGAGAAGAAATCCAAGCCGAGAGCCATCCTACCATTTCCACTTTAGCAGAGAAACACCAGTTATTTGTCCCCTTGTGGATCAGTTACCCGGACTGAAGTTTGCAGAGCTTTTAGTTTTGTAAAAATCCTTGAGTTTCAGCCAGAAGCTGTGAAAATAAGGTAAACAAACTGATACCTCAACGTTCACAGCTCAGAGAAACAGACTGGAAATCATTTGAGTGGAAAAAATTATACCCTGGGAGTATCCTGACGGACAGTGTATAGTTACCATTGGGGGAATTTGAACAAAATAAACATAGGCGATGAAGCAGTTGACCAAGCAGAGCAGATCTTTCAGAGATAACACACAGGTTACAAAGGGGGCTGTTATAACTCACACGAGAAGCCTGTGTAGGTTGCTGAAAAATAATAAATAAATAAATAAAACAAACCCAGAGCAAATTGATCAGTGGTATAGCTCAAGAGAAGTCAGCAAGTCAGACGAGGAGCAATGTTGAGTCGCTGTCTGCAACAGTGGCCAGATTTGATGGAATCATTTTTTTCTTCTCTTGTTAAGTCAACATTTACATTACTTGGGGGTGGAGGGGGGAAGCATCCCATTGCTACACCAGCAACTTCACTGATCAAAGCCTGTTAGGCCTGAGAAACCAACGGGTTTTACTGATCATCTCACTTTCACTGCCAAGACCAAATGAAATATGGGCCTTTTTGCCTGAATATCAGAAACCTGCCATCAGATCTGTGGCAACTGAGTTAGGAAAGGTTAACTCAGAGAGGTTTTTTTTGACACAGCTTGGCACTGGTTCTGGTGCAGCCTTTGCCTCCTCTATTCTGCATCTCAGCAAAGCCCTGGCGTGAGCGGAGCAGGACTCCAGTGCTTCACTCTCCCCCTGGAACAAAGGTGTTTCCCCTGGTTACCTGGCCACAGCAGAGGAATGGGAGATGGCCTCAAAGGGGGCTGGATCTGGCTTTTTGGTTGACAGTGCTACCAAACCCCAGAGTACAGAAATATAGCAACGGGTCCAGAAGAGACCCCAGTTAGTGCAGAGAAACCCCGACACAGACTGACATCAGTTTTAACTTGGACAGAGCCTCTGTTGGCTACACAAACCCAGAACCCGGGCTCTCCCCAACTTCTGGGTGATCCAAGCCCTGACGATGAACAGAGAAGAGCCTGAACCACTGCCAGAACCCCACCAACTAACCAGACATCCCAAGTTGATTGGGAATGGCCAGTAGAAGAAAGCAGAGAGGCACGCTCCTGTGACTGCAATTTGAAGAGAAGCCATTTCGTCCATCCAGAGAAATTATTTGCTCTGGACAACAGAGCATCTGGAGATGCTAACAGCATCCCGTGCCATCTGATCCCTTCCCTAGCCACATTCGGCAAGTCACTATTATACTGGCCAACTAGATAGCCATTCCCTTCCCTCCTACCAAACCTATCATCCCAAAACTGATTTCCATCACCTCGGGTGCCCTTGTAGCTCTTTTCCATTAGTACCACACAGGTTTGGTTTTTTACCTCCATCCAAGGCAGCCCATGCCAAAGCACAGCTTTGAGGGCAAGCCTGCAGCGTGGATCAACAGGACTGCTACATTTTTCCCTTCCCAATGGAAGGCAGCAGTTTTCTCCCAAGCCCTAAGCAAAGGAATCTCTTTTCTGTTACGAAGCCATACATCCATCATCCTGAAAGATGGCCTGCTACAAAAGCTGAATTTCCCCAGCATTTATTTCCAGCTCTCCGCAGTCCCGGCGTGCTCCGAGGGAACCGTGTGATTTATCACAGCCCCCAAACAGCTGAACAACTTTCCTTGCTGGAAGTCCTGGCTGAGAACGCTGTGCTGCAGCTTCTCCTGCCCTGTCAAAGGGCTCCTTCCTTCCTCAAGGCACGCAAACCTGAAAGGCACTTCGCTCCCACCCCACGGGAGCTGCCCCACAGGAAAGCCCAAATACTCCATTTTTAAAAGGGTCACAAGTTCAGAGACTGCTGGCAAACGAAGCATCTCAAAGCATCCCTTCAGATTTCCTTTACCAAGGTCTCCTTTTTAATTTAATACGGGAGGATTTCCAAAAAAAAAAAAAAAAAACAAACAAAAAAAAACCCCAACAAAACCAAACAAACAAAATGTAAAAATCTCCAAACAGCAGGCTAACGAACTTGGAAACCAGTATTTCTCTTGGCAGAATTTAAAAATCTCCAAACAGCAGGCTAACGAACTTGGAAACCAGTATTTCTCTTGGCAGAGAGCTCTGCAGTGTACAGCCAGGTGCAAACCCGTAACACTCAGTGCAACAGCCTGCCAGCTTTTCTTTAAGAAGAGGCATTAATGGCTGTGGATAGCAAGCACCCAGCAGCTCCTATTATTGAGGTTGATGGAGCCAATACGAGACAGCTTACTTCCATGCTGGACTAGAAACCTGCACCAACCACCCCAAATATTTAACCTCACCACCTCCCAGCACACGCAACCAGACGGCATTTGTCTGTAGGGGCAAATGGGAAGAAAGACTCTGTTTAACAAACAAATCCTGGCAAGTTGTCTTTGCTTTCAGCACATTTATCCCCCAGGAAAACAGTCCACGTGCTGGTGTCTGCATTGCACACAGTGCACAGGGGTGCCAGGATGCCTGGAAGGTATGGCAGATGGCACTGGGCAGGAGAAGACCTCTTTCTAGGACAGGCTGAAGAGTTTCTCCAGGTGCTTCACACACAACCACAGCGTCCAAACCCACCAATGCCTTCACAGTCCTCATTTTCCACAGTAATTTTCTTCCAGGGAAGAGGGGGACTTTGGCACACTCCAAACCAATGTGATGGCCCAAGTGTCTTCTTTATAGAGATCTTCACTGCTCTTCCCTGCAAATCACCTCCAATCTGTTGGCCCCCCACCCCAGCCAATTCCCTTCTCCCATTCCCTGCTTGCATTTTCTCCTTTCCCCAGGTTCCAAGCAGCACAACCTGATTTCAAAGGAGAAAAATAATTTTGCTATCTCTTATGAGAACACAATACAAAAGCGTCCACAACAGTCCGAAGTATTCCTTTTCGATGAAAAGTGTGTTTCATCCAGGTCTTTTAACAAAATCCTTGACCTTCTTTTTTTTTATATTTTCCCCCCCCAAAGACAAATTAGAGGGAAAAAAAAAATCACCAAGACAAGCTTCTGGTATTCAGCCAGAAAACTGAATAATGATGTCCTTAAAAATACATCTCCAAACAAAATGCAATTTTGTGCTTTGCTAAAAAAGGCAGATCTCTAACATTTCAAGACAAATACCCAGGGATGGGTATCCTTCACCCTCACTGCAGTCAGCTCCAGGATTATAAAAGCACAGGAGAGCCATCTGAGCTGGCAGAAGAATGTAACTCCACACTTGAGGAAACATCACCCGACGTCTGTGTTTGAACTGATCTCCAGCCACCAAGCTGGGGCAAAGCTTTCACCCATTTGCCCACCACAACCTCTTGCCAGGAAGCCCCCATTCCTGCACCAGGACATCAGTATGGGTGATGGATTTATGCTGTTGACAGGGATCAGCAGAGCAGTCCCCCTCTGGGCGCCGTGGGAGACACTGCAATTTTCCCTGTAGCACCCATCAGGACCAGCTGAGGCAGAGATTCACAGAAAAAAAAGGCCTTGGAAACAGGCAATCCCTGCCTGCCAAGAGAGCTCCCTCCAGCCCACTCCACCTCAAACACAGACTCTTTCACTCACCGAAGCTTTTATGAAGAAATGGCCAGGTTTCAGGTGCTGAATGGGATCTGAACCTAGACTGAGGACTATGCCCTCTACTTTGAGCCAAAGGAGCCCTCTTTCTGCAGGGCCAGGGCCACGAGAAGGTAGTGTGTGTCATCAGCTCGAGGGTCTCCTCTGAACTTGCAGCCAGCTGGCACAGCCCACGCTGACAGACCTCATTTCAGTTCCTCCAGCATAGTTTTAATGATTTTGCCAGGAGGGCTTTGCTCTTGCTCGGCAGGTTTCCCACAGCGCAGCACAGCAATGAGCATGAAAACCCAACAGCAACGCGAACCCCAGCAGATGCCTCAGCCTTGTTTCATCAATAGGCACGACTCAAACTCAGTTCTTGCTACTATTCTCAACCTCTGCGTGTAGATGGTTCTCCAGCAGGGATGCCTCCTGACTACTCGCAAAATATGCAAGGAAGAAGCATTTGCACAATCAACCTTGGCACCTCCAATTTTGTGAGCGTCAACAGATGCAACCCAGGCAGCAGACTCAACCGTATTGCCCAAGTGATGAGCCACACGCTGGCTGGTTT